TATACCTGAGGTAAATATACTGATATGTATATATGGTTCTTAGGATGTATATATATATTTATATATAGGACATGTCTGCTCTTTCTATGTCACATTATACACACATACAAACACATCACTTCCCACTGGTCCTGTATGAGATTAGAGTCTCTACAGCCCCTTCACTGTCACTCAAACACAGACAACTGATGTGGGCGGGGCTGTGACAACTATCAAATCTGGCAAGTCAAATGTTTTTATTTGCAGGCAAAGCAAGTGCTTGTATGTGTGTGTGTGCACGCATGTGTGTCGTCTGTTGAGGGTTTGTTGTGGCCATATAGCAGTAGCGCCACGGGGGAGGGCTCTTCTGGAACATATTGGTGTGCGCAACATAGTGGTTAATAATCAGTAGCAAAACGAATACAGGCGAAATGGCAGCTCTGATGTGTGTGACAAGTTTACAGGCCGCACACGCCAAGACAACTGCCACAACGTATAACAAACGGCACGCACACCACAGAGACACCACACACACACACCTATACACACACACACAACACACACACACACACACACACACACCACCACACACACACACACACACACACACACAAACAAACAAACACAAACACACACACCCATAGTAGAGACAGAGACCTCCTCTGCCACCGAGCCCTCTGTCTTTGTTGAGTTCTCAATTTTATCACAGATCCTGATAAGTTAAAACAACCACTTCCCACCCACCCCACCTCGCCTTCCCCACCCCTCCTGTATGCTCCATATGTGGGCACACGCACACACACATAAACATATAGCCGAGTCAAACTCGGCCACCCACCCACACACACTTACACACACAAACACATACAAATGTACATGCTTAACCACCCTCTCACATTGAATGCACAAAGTCCTTGAAGCAGGCACTCACATACATCATACACTCAAATGCACAAATACACATCACACACACACACATCCTCATTCCCCCTTCTGTCATAACTCATTGTTGCTGTTGCTTGCTTGTCTGTGGCGATGGTTGTGTTGTGCAGGGGTGGCAGCTTTAAGTTTTGATAAGGAGGGGCGGGGGCATCAGTGATGGCTCCCTGCGGCGAGGTCTTAGCAACAGTAGGCAGCAGCAGCAGAAGACACCCAACCTGTCGTCGGGATCAGGCTCGGGGGGGGGAGCAGAGAGAGAGAGAGAGAGGGGAGCGACAGCATCACTCTCAGATCGGACATCTCCAATCAGAAAGAAGAGACAGACCTTGGGATCAGTGGCCAAGCTTGGCAGGCAAAGCAAGAGAAAGGGAGAGACAGTGAGAGAGAGGCCAGAGCAGAGCAGACAGCCACCCAGTCCCCAGGATTAGTCTTTGAGGTTGGCAGAGCCTGACCAAAATTGAGAGCGAGGTAGCTGAAAGACAGACGGCAAAAAAGACCCGGTGCCTGGCGCCTACTTTGGACCAGGTTAGCAGCCAGAGAGACGAGGAGACAGAGCGACAGACAGAGCGGGGACCTGGTACTCAGTGGCTGTGTGGCTGGTCTGGAGTGGCTCACCCATATGGTGCTCCGCTCTGTTCCTGCTCCCTGTCTAAATCCATATGCTGCTGGTGGAAAGGTGCCCCCCACCTCCCTTTCCCCTCCCACCTCGCTTCAAGAGCATGCAGACCCTCACCCTCCCCACACTCCCCCAACCCACAAGGGAGGTGTTGGGAGGTAAAGCCCTGAAGGCTTGTACCCCCCTCCTACCTCTTAACCCCTCAGAGCTGCTTAGCCCATTGTCACTACAATCTGCCACCATAGCCTTGGTGTTGTGTGTCCCCTCTCTCCTTCTCTCTCTTTCTCTCCTTTTCTTTCTCTCTCTTCCTTCATCTTTTCATCTCCCTTTGGCACCCAATAATCGATGAACTTATTAACTGCTAATTATTCAAGCTGTGGATCGAGGATCCCTCCCCATCCTTGGAAAAAAAGGGAACCTTTCCACTCTGTTCTGCCAAATGAAGTGGTTTATATTGCCCATTCATTTGGATTAAGTGCATTTAGGCTGCACTGTTTGGGATGTGAAGACTCTGTCAGATTGCTATCAGCAGCATTTAACATTAATCCTCATTTTGTTCAGCCAGTTGATAGCACCCACTTAGTGGAAGCCCAAGAGATTTTTATATTGAAATACACAGTTCGTATTTGTTTTCCCTGTGATGTGTGTTTCTCTAAAAGGGTGTGTGTCTCTCTCTGTTCTGGTTTCTCAGGAGGTCCTTCAGACGATACCAAAGTTCTGCTTTCCCTTTGACGTGGAAAGGTACGATTCCTCTCCCTCTCTGCTTCCCTGTTTTTTAGCATTGCAACTCACTTTCACCTCCTCACATAACACATGCATGCACGCACACACACGCATACACACAAATAAATAGATACACTTTCACCTACAGAGACACACGTATTTAAAAAAAGGAAATGAGATGATGTGCATTTTGTGCATTACACAGTTGGTGAAATTACCATCATTCCTAGGTAATGTCACATGATGACTTGCTAACTGTCAGAGTGTAATGATGAGTGTATTTGTGGGTGTGATTGCAAGTAGCCGCCCTGGTATAAAACCCCAATAAATCTGACATTTTCCTGCATACAATCTGTACTGACTGTACCTGCAAAGAACACGGCTGCAAAATATTCCCAAAAATGTAAATGCTGTGATGGTGAGGACACACGATAATGATGATGATAATGAAAACAACAACTTCCATTAAGGATGATGCTGATGAGGTCATCCGTGACGTGCCCACTTGATGTGTCGTGCACAGTGCACATCTTTATGAGTGCATGTGTGTGAAAGAGTACCGAGACTAAGAAAGTGTTGTATATTATTCTACATAATATATAGGTCCGATCAGGGCAGCAGCTCTCTGAAAAGTACTGGTTTCTTATTTTCAGCATGGAAAATGACATGTTAAAATTCCCATTGTAAAGACATAGAGAGAGAGTGAAGATGAAGGGGGGGTGGGGGTTGTACAGTGTTTTACTGAAGCTGAGCTGCTGCCATCTAGTGGTGTAGGGATGTTTCTGAAATTTACCTTGGGGTTAGAAAAGCTTTTTACAGTTTTTCAAGCCGCCATAGTGGAAATATATGAGATCAGATTTGGACCTTGACTGGAGATTTAGCTCATGGTGAGATTTTGTCTGAAAATTGGCTTGTTTCTGGTCCAGCTAGACCAAATAGTGTTTTGTTACACTGTATTTTTATTCTATTTCCGAGAATGTATAGATTTACTGCACCCTGTTGTATTCAGTAGATTGTTAAGTTGTTATGTGGTTTTCGGCCATTTGTGAGCGTGTGTCCCTTGTGTCCGACCCCAGGGTTTCACAGAGTCAGGTGGGGCAGAATTTCACCTTTGTGCTGACGGACATTGACAGCAAACAGAGGTTTGGGTTCTGTCGACTCACTCAAGGCTGCCGGGTCTGCATATGTCTGCTCAGGTAACACACACACATGCGCACACACAGACGCGCACACACACACACACAGCTTACTAAATGTTATTGTGCTTTTTTGTTAAACGAATACTGTGAGGTACGTATATTTCTTTTGTATTCTTCATTTAAAATCATGTTGTTCTAATGAACTGAATCTTACTGCAGTCTTTAACACTGGGTATCATACACTTTGTAATTTTCTAAAAGAATAAACATATCCAACCTTCATAAATTAAACAAATGTCAAAAAAGAGACATGTGCTAAAAGTTATGCTGCACTTCACAAATTCAAACATATAAAAGTCAGCCTTTCACAAGACTTGTTCAAATAGGCAAGATTTGATCTGTTCTGCCCTTTTTCAAATTATCTATGGATCAGTCTCAGAACTGTTTTTTTTTTTTATATCTGAATTTATTTCTCAAGTGTGATGAAAAAAATTAATTTACCAGATCTTAGAAGTGAACACAGATTTTTGAGACAGCATTTCCATTCATTCTCACACTTCACACTGAACTGCACTATGCCAGAATAACAAATTTATATTCTCATCTGCCCACACAAATATGTTAGTGATGTGCCTATAATTATCCAAAAGTTTAGCAGTTTTTGATATTTCATAGGTGGATTTATCCTATCACCGCGTACATAAATGAGGACACCAAACTCAAGAAAATTGCATTTTCTTCGCATAATTACTCTCCAACAAAGGCTATTATCATTTAATTCCCATGTAATTGCATGTTGACACAATGTTTTTACAGATGTAATTACCTTACCATTACAAAGACGGAGCACTCCAGTACTAATCTCAGTGGACAAGCTTATGCACTTTAGAATAAACTGAGGAAAATGTACTAAATAAATCCATTTTTAATTAATGTATTAAGCAGTTTAACAAACAACAAACTGGAAAAGAAGCACAAAGGCTTTTCTTTTTCTCTGTTAGTGTGAAGCAGAGCTCCTGTAAGTGCTACTCTCGCCTCTGTACGTGTGTGTGTGTAATGCGTGTGTGTCTGTTGATGGACAGTCGTGGGTTTGTCGCTGCCCTGATGAGCTGCTGTGAAGAACAGTGTCCCTCCTCCCCACACCACCCACCCTTCCCGGCCAGCTTCCATGGCCTTTGTTTTTCTTTTCTCTCTGTCTCCCCCTTTCTCTCTCCCTCTCTCACTCTCTCTCTCTCTCGCTCTCTTTCTCCCTCTCTCCCTCTCTCTCTCTTTCTCTCTCTTTTCTCCTCGTTATTCGGCTACTGCCACAGTGCGACAGCAAAGACGCTTGGCCCATAATTATGCATGAAGCTTCACTGCCAATTAGCAGAGGTTCCCCTGTCCCTCTCGCTGAGTTAGACATGCTAATTCATTTGACATATGATGTATAAAATTCATTATGCATTCTGAGTAGTTTGCATGGCTTGCTTCATTTATAATAAAATAATGTATAGAAAGTTTTTTTTTTGTTAATTTGAAATTGTTTGTGTGCTCCCCAGTTATGATGTTCTTTATTTATTTTTTATCTTTTTCGTCTTCTCAAGATCGGATAAGTAAAAACATTCTAAAACATAAAAACAGTTTTGATATTTCATCGAAGAATTGTCCTAATTAAGTTCCTGCGTTCAAGGTCCTTGGTCAAGTTTTCTTTGTTTATTATTCTTTAAACTGTTTTTCATTCTACTATATTAGTTATATATGCAAGACAGTATTAAGGACATGACAGCAGATTGCTATGTTAAAAAAAAAAAAGATAACCAAAGAAAACCGGAAAAATACAGATAATGGTAGTTTTATTTTAAATAATTATTAGTTCAAATGTGTCTTGTTAAAATCTAAAGCAGGAGCAGCACTAGTTTATTTTTGTTTAATCTATAATTTCCAATGGATATAAAATAAAAGTAATTAAAACAGTTTGCGTCTGTGATTGTTGAAGTGCTGGGACCGTAAAATTGTCACCTCTGCTTACAGGAGGAAGTGCCATAATGAGCAGGACAGTTTTATGTGGACAGCCCTTTGTAGTCTCATTGCTAAAGCCGTGGCCGAAAGGGCAATGCTCCATTCAGGCATAACCTCAAGAGAGAGAGAAAAAAAAACAACACAAAAAAAGAAAAATATAACCTGATCTATTTTATACTGTTATTCCCCGTCTTCTCACGTTCTTTGTCTCTCACATTTAAAGGATTTTCAGTTGAACATGTGAGTAACTTGGAGATGAAAAACGTGGATTTCCTCAGTTTCATTTAATGGCTGCGGCTTAGGGATACATTTTAGGGACTGCATTGCTCCAGTTAGTGGTCACTTAGTGGGTCGCCGGAGGACACTTCCTTCCCTGTACTTAACCCTTAACCTGAGAAAGTAAAGGTGTAATGAAATCTTCCACTGAGCCGTCTACAAAGTGTAAGATGACTTACGATTACAGGTGCCTGTGCATTAAAGGAGATTTAAGACTCATCTACGAAACAGGAATAAGTGTCATGCTTTGCACCCAACAGGTAGTTTATGGCAGCAAAAAAGGGCTGATATAAGTGCTCCACACACCTTCACCCCTGAGGTGCATAGATAAAATGTAGGAGTATGAGTCCACGATATTTGCAGATTTTGGAAAGGGTTTGTTTTATTTCACTCTAGATTTTTTTCTTGATATTTCAGCCACATTTGTTTTCGTCTGTGATCCTATCCATAATAGCATAATTGCAAGTTCCAGAGGCACTTCCATGGCCCTGTCTTCTGTTACATATTTCCGTTCTGTGAGGTGGTCTGAGCCTGGGATGGAGAGCACGACGAGCTGTGAGTGGGCCGCAGATTAACTAGTTCATTCTTTGAGTACATGGCACTTTGAGAAGACATGTGTTTAAAATGGCAGGAGAGATTGCGGAGGCCCCCACGCACTGAGCACTCTGGTGATGGATGCCTCTCTCTCTATCGGAGGATTTGCGAAGCACAAACAGATCTGAGCAATGAACTGTGACGAGTAGGAGTATCTCTCTAAGCTTTCCAAACTTTAACTTTACATCAACAGAGAGAGCAGAGTGGCGGGGGGGGAGGGCGATAAGTAGAACAAAACAATACATCTTTAAGTTATATTCATTCTATTGCATTTGAATAAAGCATAAAAACCATTAACTATTGTTGGAAGATGTTAGAAGAATATTGATCATTTGTGGTTGGCTGCCTTTGCCAGTGATCATGCGTTTTCCTCTTAAACAAAGGATTTACAGCACCTTGTTGTAGGAGTGTAATGACTGTGAGATCTGTGAGGCCTGACGGCTGCTCTGACAGTGAGACTCCTATTTACATCCCCTTCAACTGTGAAAAATGAAGGATTAATGTCCAGAAGCCTGGCTTTTTAAACAGGAGGCATACAAGAGGCAGATAATACAAGGGCTTTGTTCTCCCCCTTAGCCATTATATCAGACTGAACTTTTTGTATAATGCTTTAATGTAAACTGACCCCATATGCAGATATTTGGGTTGTATGCTGTTTGACGTGGCAGAAATAGGTCTTCAGGTTGATATCCGGTCAGCATGTGAATTAACATATGCGTGTTTGATTTAGCTTCTCCTGCGAGTGTGACCTGATTGCGGTAAATCTTCACACAGACGTCAAAATATTGGCATGTTAAGAAGCTGATTGTTTCAGACTAATGGTCACTCAACCTCTCTGATTGGTGCGCTTGGCTGCACTTCTCCGGGAAGCCGGCCTGTCATTGGCCCCTTGCGGATTTAGCGATATGAAAATTTGCATTAGGTTCACTTTATTGTTTTCTTGTTGTCTGTTAATTCCAGTCTACAGAGCAGCCAGTGACCCATGCCCTGGAAGCTCCTCAGTCTCCAGCCAACTGCCTGAGCAGGACTTTACTGCCTTATAAACTCACACACTATGAAAGCTATATGAAAATGTATTCATTCATTTATTATTATGTAACTATAAATCTGCAAGCTCTTTGTCAGATTTCTAATTTAAGTTAGACTATTATCTTAATGTTTTCTATTTAACCCTGTTAAAAACATGAATTTGGTGAGCAAATAAGAACCCACTTTTGATTCATTTGCTCATTTGGCCACTAATTTATTTTTCAACCCCTGCGTCCAGGCAAGTTAATGAAGCATTAATGGGATGTTCGGTTTATTTCATTGCAATGCTAAGAAGTCCTTATCTAGAATCATTATTCATGCAGTGTTCAAAACTGCATGTTAAAACCGCAAACTAAATAAAAATTCAATACCTTGATAGGACACCATGTTTTTATTATTTGATTGCATAACATTAAATGAACTGAGTCCTCACAGCTTTTATGCCAAAAGAAAATGTTGGCCATCTTCCACCTAGAAAGCAAGTCGACTTGGCCAAGAAAATGTCAACTTTGTAAAGAAAGCCATGCTGCAGATGCTTTTAGCTTATGGTGGGTGTACTTAGTGATTAGCTTTAACACAAACACTGCAGTATAAATTATTGTGAGCTTGTTAATGAATTTATTTATTTTACAGTAATTGCATAAGGCAAAGATTTTTTATTTTTTTTTCTTTCACATGTGAAGGGCATAAAAAGAAGCACAGAGAGGGGCAGAAGGAGGAGGTGGATAAAGGGGGGAGCCAGGAGGCATCTTGGGCTGCATTTTTGTTAAGCCTGTGCATCTGTGAGCAGCATGCTTGTAAACCATAGCATCCCTCCGCATCACATGAAAGCTATGGTGGTTCTTTGTTAAAGAATCTAAAATCCATAGTTTTTTTCTTCTTCTACCTTCCCCTCATATTGGATTAAAGAGCGGACATGACAGGAATTCTTAGCATGCGGAGGCCCCTGGGTACGAAGAATGTCATAATAGGGACTAGATAGCATTTACTATCTTTTTCAGTACAACAATGACTCTGCGCTTTGGAGTAGCTGTAGCTAGGAACACAATCCGTTATCAATGTCCTGTATGCATATGATCTTTAAGCAATAGGTCACTGGCAGTAGCCTGTGTACACAAAAACACACACAATAATACTGCAAGGCTATTCATAAGAAACTCAGCGCTGTTTAAATTTATACGGTCCAGCAGATGGTGAAATTATTTATAGACATTGTGACAGGCAAAGACAGAGTCACATCACATAAAAAACTTTACAGGAGACTGAATTTCTTGACATTTGTCATTCTTTTAAATGCCGCAATAATGCAGACCCTGTGATGATAAATACTGATCTGCTTTGATTCAGCACACCCTGTTTGTTTATTGTAGAATATGATAAAATGAATTAAAACATGTCTATTAATACACTGTCTCTCTTACCCTTTCAGTTATCTACCATGGTTTGAAATCTACTACAAGTTGCTGAATACTCTGGCAGACTACCTAACGAAACAACAGGTAATCACCTCTTTTGGATGTATCAGCTATTTCGGATTTTTACGTATACGATATAAGGTGCCTTGCACATAAGTACTTTGCATGAAAAATAAGACATGGTGGTTTGATTTGACTGAGAAACAAGCACACAGTTTAGTGTTTTTGAAACTGTAACTGTGGTGAGATATTTTCCTCCATTCTGTTCTTGTGCATGCTGCATGTTGTCTTTTGTGTGCAAGTTTTGTTCGCCGTCTTGGGCTCGACTTGGCTCCTGTTGTTAGCAGCAACAATGTTGACATTTCACAGACCAAACGCTGATCTGACACTGGAAGTTATTCCTGATGATTTACTGGAAAACAAATCGTTAAGAAAAAAAAAAGAAACCACACACACACACACACACACCCAAACATACACACAAATGTTCACACTTCACAAAAGTCTTTTCCCCTGACTATTCACTGCATTGTACTAGCAAAGGGAGGGAAATGTAAAATATGCAACAAAACTGGGGAGATGTGCAGCGTCTAGCACAGAGGGTGTAGGTGATGTTCCCATGTTTTGACTGAAGAGAGAGGAAGAAGGAGGGAGGAAGGCACAGCAAGGGAGAGATGCAGAGCTTTGGGACCGCTTTCAGTTGTCATGTAATCACTACTCCTTCCACGACCCTTAGAGAGCAATGATCAGGACAGAGAGCCTTGCTTAAAGTAGACAATTACAAACGCGTCACATAAACAGTCAACATACACACACACACGCACATTTCTGTGTTTGAAAGGATTTCAGCAGGATGGTCTTATATAGAGAGAGGCAGACAAGTAAGATAGGACAGTTTTGAGTGTGAGGAAGAGAGAGACAGAAAGATTGCTGGAAATCCTGGGTGACTGAAGTGTTAGTGTGCATGATTTGGTTTCTATTTACCCCGCTGTCCGTTCCAGGCGAGAGGGAGATGTTGACAGACGAGGGAAGACAGAAGAGCGATGAGGGTTTAAGGCGAGGGGTAAATGAACTGTTTCCCCAGGCCTTGTTGCTGACCATGCGTGTGAGCATTGAGCCTCTCATGACAGGAGGCTGTTCGATTGCACACACCCTAACACCCCTCCCTCCCACCCCTTCCCCTTCTCTTACTGTATACTGCCGCCCATTCCTCTCGAGTTTCTATTTCTCTCTGGCTTGCGCATGCATACACGCACACGTGCACATTTCCTCAAACAAGCAACGGCTCGTGGCCAAAACCAAAACAAAGTTCCTTGAGAGGGCGAGTAGAAAAATAATGAAAAAAACAAACACCAATACCCAACCTCTGTGTTCACATCAGTTCACATAAATAAGTTCACATAAGAACAAGTTGCAAACTGTTGTCCCCATCAGTTCTCCAGCGAGAGGCCCGAAAGTGTAAATAGCAGTCTTGTCCTGGAGCTCATAAATGCTGGAAGAATAATCTCGGGGCCTGTTCTGTGGTCGAGCTAGCTCTCCGACGGCTTCTTAAAGCCCCTGTCTTTGGAGCGGGGACCCCTGCTTAATTACTGACAGCCCGCTCTCGGCCGTAAATCAGCACTGCAGGATAATAAGCGTCTGCAGCCCTACACTCAGCCGTCTTTTAACCTCACCAATGCTCGTTAAACATATGTCAGTCGGATGTTTTGGAGCCCTTCAGGCCTCGCTGCAGGATTGCCCTCTGGTCTGCAGCAGCGCCTGTCCCAGCACTGTTGTTAAGATTGACACATAACTCGTGACATCAACAAAACTAGTAAATAAAATTCATGTGTCCTATGTTTTTTATGTCTTCTTCTTTTGTTGTTTGTTTCTCTCCCTCAGGAAAATGACTTGAATGACATGCTGAATTCTCTCTATGATCTGCCTGTGCCAAAGCCCTTCACGCCAGTCAACCTGAGTGTGGTAGGTATAGATCTCATATTCCCCCTTATCAGAGGCAAGACAGCTGAGAGTAGAGGTAGAAAGAGGGAGAGAGGGACAGGTAGGTTACTGTAGTACTGTGTTGCATCAGGAAGGAGACTGCAGAAAAGAAGATGAGAGTTGGACCAAGCAGTTAAAAGTAAAGCGAGACACATTAAAGGCAAAATGTATAATAGAAAGAAGTGGAGACATGGAGGGAGGAATAATGAGAACTAAATTGAAATTGACGCAAATGCAATGGGAGTAGACAAAGATGGCATAAAAACAGACAGAAAGAAAAAGGGCAGACAGGCAGAAACGGGGAGAGATCGACAAAGTCTAGAGGTTGAAATGAACGAGATAAACGAGAGAACGACAGAGCCGACTGAAAGCGGATAGCAAGAGGGAGGTTAAGATACACTAGGTAGGAACAGAGAGACACAGAGGGCTGTGGACTGACACTCTGTTTGGAGACAAGAAGTGGCGCTAACAGGTTTTATGTGTGATAAGCCAGAGCTGGACATGTTTAAACTTGAAGGGTCCTTTCACAACTCGTCATGTCTCCTGCTTATCAAAAACTGAAATGGCTTAACGAGCCCAGGTCGCTCAAAGTCGGCCTGTGTTTGTGTTAACTCTGACACAATCTCTCCCTGTGTGTTTCCAGCTCCTACATAAGACACTTGCTCTTAAACAGTTTTTGCTCCCATAAGCCTGGCCGATATAAGCAGAATGTAATGGTTTTCAGTGGGATAATGTTTTGTTCACTAATATCTCTATTTTTGAGTTGTTTAGACTCCACACCGTAATGGGATCAAAAGAGTTTCAGCCTTTGTCCTTGAGGAGTCCTTTTTTTTGGACCAATTAAACAAGCAACTCTGGGTCTTTTCTGCGGCATAGGTCTCAGAAGGATACACATCTAATTATACAGATGAATTTAAATTATAACCAGACTAATATGAAGTAATCAATATATATCTATGAAGGTAACAAGGTCAATTAAGATTTGTTGTGATTTACTTTTTCTTGTGTGAGTTTTTTTTTTATTAACACCAGCCGAACAAAATCTTTTCATCTGAACCTCAGAGCTTTATTGGAAAAGAAGCCCCGGAGAACAGAGGTGATAGCTTCATCTCTTTTCTGGAGAAGCCACTAGTTTGATATTTAATTGATGAAGCAGAATTATTCCCTAAAAGAGTGGTTTTTGTTTTATCATGGCAGCCAAGAAGAAGGATCATTGTCCCCTTTCATGTGTGAACCCTGTTTTGTTCTCTCTCCCTCTCTCATTGTGCAAGAATGAGCAGTTGTATATTGCCACTGGGCAAGTACTGAGAGATCGGCGAAGCACGGAGCCGGTGAGTGGAGGGGAATGAGTGAACGGCAGAAACGGGAGGAGGGAAGGAGGCTGCTGTGAAATATGAAACCGCTGCTGAACTAATCGCATGGGAGCCACGGCTTTCCAATTTGGCCAAATAAGCTGCGCTATCTTTTTAAATATAACAAAAACAAACTATCCTGGGCCTTGGTGTATGTTTCTTCTCCTCTGGAAAACAATCAAACTTTGTAAATGATTAATGCCATTCCACACTGCTATATTCTCTCTCTGAATATCAAAAGTTTTGTTTTCCCTCTCTATGTTTAAAGCAAAGGCAATTGTGCTCAAAAAATCTCCTTGATGCCTTTCCAGTTAACCCACTTTCAATGTTTTTATATAAACATGTCTTCGAAAGAACAAGAAAAAAGCAGATAAGCAAGCAAACAGCCAATGAAAGCCTGGGTTGAGTTGAGGAGCATGGTTTGTGATTATCACAATGACATGAATTTGTAGACCATCGGGGAAACATTATTTAGCACACAGAGCACAGGAAAAGAAAGACAGAGAGATATGCAGTCTACTGTAGTTGATGTATGTGTGGTTATGGGGGGTTGTCCTGTGCCTACGAGGTATTGCCTCAAGCACCTGATCTTAGATTACAACTTATTTGTTTAGTTACAATTGCGCCTTCATTTTGTTTCAGTTATTCTATAACTACTCTTCTTTTTAGACGACAATGAATAGGCTTCCCTTCGCACATGCAGTATTGTTTGCACAGATAACTAAGGAGGAAAGATTTTTTAAATCCACTTGCGCAGCAGCTGAGAGAGGCGATTTAGCATTAAGCTTAATGTAATAAGAAAATGGCACAACAGGTCAGAAATACAGTGGAAACAGAATTTTTATATTTTTATTTATATGTAGCTCAGTTTTAGGAAAGGGCTCCTTTCCACAAAAGAGACAAAGATAAGTGAGGTGTGTGATGATTTTAGTAATTACTTGTATAGCAGCAGTAATTGTTTCACAGTAAACCATTAGCTGTAATGCTAACTAGTCTACCTCTGCTTCTCAGCGACAGTATAACCAGGCAGTTTTGTTCTTTCTTACTTACTGGCAAAAACCACACAGTAAATAAAATAACTGGTTTCTTATATTTTTAACATAAAAGTTACTTCTATAACAAAATAACAAAGTTTCTTTATTGCAAAGACCTTTAACTGCCATGTTATGGCTTTTCTTAGTTAGGACAAGTCAAAATTGTCCGAAAAGGGGGAGAAAGAGGGGATGACACGTACAAGCTCTCAGCCTTGGTACCTGGGGCGCCAGCTCTACCAGGTGAGCTACCAGGGTGCCCCACATACTCTTTAAGGTGTAATGGTAAATTACTGTAATGCAAAATGTGCATAAAAATATGGGTGTAGTAATTCAAACATTAAACACTAAAACAAATTCACTTAACATAAAGAAGAGGGCGTAGGAGTTGACTAATGGTCTGCTAATGCTCAGATACTGTATCTTTTGCCCATAAAAAAAATAAAAGCACAAAAGGCAAAGCCTTGGATGTTGGTTCCAGTTTATTTGTTGTGCTGTATATTCATCTCCTCTAAGCTTCGCTCGACTACAACAATGACCCTCCTCTGGGAATATGACAATTGTTTACTCATGACAATTGTTTTCACATTTTTCACAGTTAATACACAAGCACTTAGGGAGTGAAATATTTTAGTTTGTTTTACATTAAACTAAATGTTCCAGTGTCAACCACGGAAAAAAAACTGAAGTGGATCTGTGTTGCCATTGCTTTGTCTTCATCATTACAGTCTGTTAATGTTTTATTTGCTCAAACGCTGTCACTTAAGACTAATTAGCATCCGTCTTTTTACGGGTGGTAATGGAATTTTTAGCAGTTGATAGAAATTTCCCACTGCTCAATGAATATAACATTTAGGGAAATTTTCGTGTCAGGCGCCAGAACAGTAACGACCAGCAGCACTTTATGTAGTGAAATGTGCTCACAGCTAAATTTTGTAGTTTTTGGACAATGTTGAACCAGTGGTTAACCCAGCATCATTCAAAATGGTACAAAATGAAGTCAAATAGTCTTTATGACACATAAAGCTGATCTTTTTCCATTGTTGTGCAATATTTTTAGTGTCTGGTTGTGATGGGCTTTCTCTCTTCTGTTGTTTTCTCATGTCTCTATAATTGGAGACGTTTTTCTTTCTTGGTGGTGACTTTTGCCTGGGTTGCTGATTTTGAATGGCTGCTCTAATGTTGGCATACTCTCAAATCGTGTTGTTTGTTATGTAATATATTACTGTTAAGTTGTCTTCTATTTCAGGAATTCTTTTCCAGGTACCTTTTTTCTGTTCATTTTTTTTTCCCTTTCAGAGCTCATTTCAAAATGCAGATTGTTTCCTAATCAAAGGTCTTGAATGCTTTGCATTGCATTGCATTTCTCAGGTGCTGGACGTCATTCTTCCTGCCACAGACGCTACAAATTCAATAATTTCTGACACTGACTGTGTAGCCTGACATTATTTGTTAGATGATTTTGTAAAACATGTAAACAGCAGTCATGTTTAAACACTGTGAAGTCTTAAAACTTTAATATTTTATTTTAAATACTGTGTTCACAGTGTGAGAGAATCTACTGCCACAGTAAATTTAAGCGAAGACCTGCAACAGATGGTTGTGTTAGGCCTAGAGAAATGAAGGTGCACTAAAGATACAGGG